CTCTAACTGAGTCCTGCCTTTATTTGTCAAAACCTGTAGCTACAGGATAGTAAAGGGGGCCTGCCTCTAATTGGGACCCAGCTTTAATTTGAAGTTTAACACGGTGCAGTTGCCAGAATTCCCCTGTCTCCAAGACAACAGTGAATACGATTTTAAAGATCCCCTCCAGACATGTATTACGTCATATATGTGATAATAGTCTGCCTAGAACACTAATGTGTGTCTGATATAATGTAATCTGATATAATGTCCACATTAAAGTCCATAAAAACACATCTACTCCTTCTACCTCATTACAAATTACAGAATCTATGAATATGCAGAATCTTTTTAAATTTCTAAAGTTTTCCTGATGGACACAAGATGTCTCCTCCCTCACTATAAAACCCATTCTTAGTGTTTGTGTGTTTTGTGTTTTTCTACATCACACTTGTATAAGTTGCAAACTGGACCAGGTTCACCTACAAACTATTTGTGATGTCACATATCTTGTTCATAGGCCCTTCAGAAAAATTCAGATTTTCAACGAGCTCAGAGAAACTTTATACTTTGAGTAGACAAATGTGAAAACATCCTTCTAGTGTCAAACTCTGCACAGTGACACTCAAACATCCAATTAAAGGAACATGAGGAAAAATATAAAATATATTTTTGACTGAACATACAGTTAGAATCAAACAACAAAAGCATGGCTTTTATGGTTCTATATAGACGACTTAAAGAGTTTCAATATCTAAACCGAACCACACACAGGACAGGAATGTTCTGTAACAATAGACCTTTTTCACAGCAGCCATTCTGACATGAAATAGGGTAAACACAGGCAGTGACACTAATGAAGGTTCAGTTCCATTCAGGTCAAACAGAGTGAGAGTGCTGCTATTGTTAGCTCACTGGAAAGACTCTGCTACACTAAATGGAACAGAACCTTGATTAATGTCATTGGTAACACCTGTGTTTACTATTTCATGTCAAAATGGCTGCTGTGAAAAATGTCTATGAGAACATATTTCTCAATTTACAGCTGCGCCATCTGCAATATAAAATTAATTAATAAAACAACCTTTTCCTGAAACAGCTTGTGGAAATTAATGAACCTGATGAATGAAACATTATGTAAGGAGCTGTATGAGTGATCAAAGTTTGATTTATTGGGGCAGAAATGATTGACTGGACAGATGCAAATCAAAACTGA